AACTCAAACAATCGAGAAAAATCCGAAACAAAGCTGAAACATTGTAAAAACAGCATCTAAAACCTTCTTTTTACGCATGTAAACAAGCGTAATCAACTTCCTTTGAGGATAGAAAACTCGAGGACAGTGTCGGGAGGCACGGGTGTGCCGGCATTGCGCCTCGATTCATGTGTTGGAGGTTGCACCGCGGGGTCCCTATGCAGTACGGTATGCTCGAACGACACGGTACGGGCGCAAGAGTCGTCATGCCTCGATAGTGTCCGGATGGCTGGATGTCCGGAAGGTCCCGATCATAAAGACAAGCACATGGGTCAGTTCTCGGTATGCATGTCCAAGTGAGTAACGAAGCTCGATGACATTCCGATGCTCGGGGCGGCATCCTAAAGTACCGGTGGGCACCCAGTAAGTGAGAAAAAGCTAGTCTTGGCCTGGTAAGCGGCAAGACTCATCTTGGTTGCCAAGTTTAATCATTCCTTGTCCGAAAGTCGGCAGGAATCATCCCGGCAGTACCCAGTAAGGCCGTTTAGCCCGTTATTGACTAGTTTCTCGGCAGGAATGGTCTTAGAGGCGTCCGATGGGTTCGATAAGCTAGTTTTGACATAATTAGGTGGCAGGAATCTCCCGGTTGTACCCGGTTGGCATTTTAAGCGCGTTCTGGCCCCGTTATGGGTCAGAACTCATCTCGGTAAGGTTCTGGCTCATCGTAAGAGCGGGACGGCCGAGTGGCCGATAACTAAGATGGTTGAAATCAAGTTGCGACGTCGCGTTTAGAAGACCTTGGCCTAGAGTAGAGGCAAGGTAGAGTCGTGGGGCTTGGCCTAGAGTAGAGGCAAGCCAGCTAGAGTCGCGATAGAGTTTAAATGTACGTACGAGAGACATGCATTGCCGAGATATGTTAGAATTTGGCTGCAAGTGAAGCTCGGTCAAGGAATAAAGAACCTCGCCTAAGGTCCGACGAAGCCACAAAGGGTGCAAAAAGTGGATTGGGACTAGAGTTCCCCATAAGGCTGGCCATGGTTGAGCTTAGATCATGCCGCCGCACGGTTGAAAAATGTAC